ACTTATTATTTTGTTATACTTGAGATTTTTCTTTTAAATATTGTTAAGAATTTAAACAAAATCAGGTTATATGTGAAACATGTGACACATTTATTGATTTTTTAAGACAATAACATTTGAGTCTTTATTTTTTTTATGAGAAAAAAAAATTAGTGTTTGAGTAATTTCTTTAGAAAATACTGTGCTCCATATGCATCATATAACTAAAAAATATATATATAATTTTAATTTTTTGAGTTACAACTAAAAAAAAATATTATAATTAAACACAACGGGATGTATAACTAAAGAACTTAAGAGTCATAATTAAAATAATGTCACAATTAAGGAAGAAATTTAGTCATAACTAAAGAAAAAAATGACACAAATACATATATGATAAATCGTTTTTAAAGAAGTGCATTAGAATTTCTTAATTTTTAAAAAAAGTGATGGGTTAACGCATAAGATGTGACATTTTGATTTTTTAAATAATTTTTTTTTAACTATTTCGATTAAAAAATTTCTCCCCAAAAAGGACGTTGGTACAAATGAGTTCTTCTTCCGAGGACGGTCTTTGGCTCTGTAAATGTCCCAAAGGTCGAGCACAGAATTGAGCTGCCACTGCCACCATCGGACCCCGGTTTTTGACCAATAACAATGGCTCTGTAAATGTCCCAAAGGTCGAGCACAGAATTGAGCTGCCACTGCCATCGGACCCCTGCTTTCGACAAATATGCATATCAACAAATGGCCTACCTCTCATTTAAAAATAATAAAAATATATTATATAATATGACTTGAATTTAAGGGTTACCATCGGGTATGACTCATGAGAGAGCGTCTCGTCTGCCATACTAAATGGTTTTGTCTTCAAATTTTGTACGGTTTAGTTGTACTTAGGCTTATTGACCCAGTTTGGTGTTATTTATGGGATTTTTATTTTAACATCTTTAAATATTAAAATTTTATAGCATAAATAATATATAATATTTTCATAATAATAATTTATTCTTTAACATTTTTACAAAAAAGTTTTAGTTTTTTTATAAAGAAATTTTAATTTCACAGAAAAAATTAAACTCCTTGAAATTTCTTTATGACGAGTTAAAATTTTTAAAATAATAATATTGAAAATTTTGAATTAAAAAAAAAATATTGTATCTTTTATACTAAAAAGTAAAGATAAATATTTCACTAATTTTTTTTCATTATTTATAAGTTTTTTTTTTATATATATATAATTATAAATTAAGTAAAATAATTCACAAGTACAACCAAAGGAAACTTGATGGGTTGGGTTGGCCTTTGGCGAAACCAGAAGAGGATACTGAAGCCATCGAAGCCGCAAAAGCAGTCGGCATCGGAGAAGGGATACTGTTGTGTCTTTTCGGCACAACGGTTACTGTTGTGAGAGATTATTCTGAGTATTTTTCGATAATCTGAACTGATCATATTATAAACTTCGTCGAGTAGATCATTCATACAAAAAATTAAATTAATTAGATATTTATAACTTTATTACCAAAGCGCATTTATTTTTATAAACATTAACGGTTAATATAACTTTTATAAATTTTTTAAAACAATTAGAATCTAATCATAAGATTATCAACATCCGATTAACTTGATTTTTCATATGAATAATATTTTGATCGAATCTTATAATATAAATACTTCAGATTATCAAAAAAAAAAATTCCAAAAGACCTCTCACAAGCAGCAGCAGTAACTGATGTGACTTTAAGCACAGCAATACCCCTTCTCCCCAGTCGACATCGTCATTAGCCACCACGTGATCGTCACGTGACCATATCATCATCATCAGCATTGAGACCACGTGTCAAAACCACCTGCTCAATCCACCCACCTATAAATACCAACACTTTCTCGGGAAAATTTTAGAGGTAGCCAAATTTCAAAGTGAAAAAGAGAAAATATTTATAGCAAGAAAATGAAGAGGCAAAGAAATAAGGCCATGAAGGCAAGCAACAAAAAGGCAAAAGGAGAGGAGGTGGTGGTGGTGGAGGAGAGGGGGGAGGTTAGGGAATGTGTAGCGGCGGTGGAGGCGGAGATGTTAGAGGACTGGGAGGAGTGGTGGTGGTTGTGGAGTAGGGTGGAGGATGACCAAATGTCATCATGGGGGTCATTTTGGTCCCCATTTTGGGAGATATATTGGTTTGGTGAAGATTTTAATGAATTATTATACACTGATGTTGTTTGGGATGATGATATTTGGGATCTGAAGAGCATCAAGTGTGTTCCAAATCCATGAGAGAGAGAGAGAGAGAGAGAGAGAGAGAGAGAGAATGTCAATGTGTATGTAATTGCACTTCCAAATTTTGATATATTAGTATTATCTCTTTTTTCCATTTCTTTAGAGGATATTAGATCAACTACTTCTACTTCTATGGCACATGCAGCTTGTGCCTAAACCTTGATAAAATAAAAAAAGTGAAATAGGAGCCAAATATTTGACCTGGAATTTACCGAAAAGGTTTTTATGGTGTAAATTCAAATTCATTATGTTGTGAGCTATATTATAATGAATTTGGTTCAAGCAATTTAAATTTTGTATAATTTTATTTTAGTATTCAGGGTAAAGGGGTCCTCCCCTCTCCAAAATTAGAGAATCACCCTTCAAATTTTGCCAAAAAAAAAACAAAATCAATCGAGGGAGGCTTGTCTGTAGTTGGAAAGACTCATTGTTAGAACTCAGTCAGCCCATCAAGGCATACATCTCAATGCTATAAATAGTTTAAAAAATGAAACATAAGAAAATAGATCAATTGAATAAGAGGTAATTATTGGTTCAATGGTTAAGATTTGTCTCATTAATTTTGAGGTTATAGATTCAAGTCTTAGAATCGTATTATACTAAAGGTCAGGTATATATTCAATCTTTTCTTTTTTAAAAATGTGTACTAATTCTTAGAATTGTATTATGCTAAAGGTTAGGTATATATTCAATCTTTTCTTTCTTAAAAATGTGTACTAATTAGGCATTGTTTTTAAATCGATCAAATAAGTATAATCATTGATTACGTCATATTTGTTATTAGAATAAGAGATGATTTATTTTAAAAAATTTATTTAATGTTTATTTTTATAAAAATAAATATTATATATTCTTATGATTATGGTTATTTGATTAATTTTATTGTTTAAATGAATGATCTATTCCAATGACCATATAAAATCAATGTTTGGATTATCGAGCTAAGCACTGTGGTGAGCCTCTGAGGACTACGCATATGCTCCAATTGTAAGAGCTTAAGCCTGTTTCTTAAAAATTATTAGTAAACCATGTATTATATCCTTGTAATAAATAAGAAATATAAGTTAAATTAATTAATGTGAAATTATTTAAGGAAAGAAAAACCTTGGAAATTTTATAACAGAAAATTGTTTGATCCTTTATATAAATTTCTATAATTTTGTAATTAGGCCACTTGTTATGAATAAAGTTCTATCTTATCTTATTTCATATACAACTTAAATCCAAACCTGAACTTGCATAGTATCTTCTTTTATTACTTTTGTTTGCTAGTTTTTAGTGTTAATTTATAATGGCCTAAATACTTATGGTGAAACTAGTTTCTTTATGGTTGTTTAAATTCTAGAACAGTTTGTCACTATTATGAAAAGACATGTTGCTATTGTGAAACTAATATGGTGCTATATTTATATTTTATGAAAATAAAGTGTTATATATATATTTTTTTGTTATTTAATTATATAAATCCGTGGTCCTAAACCGATCCAATCCGTATTTAAATGGATTGGTTGGGATTGGTTCCACGATTTAAACGGATTGGATTGATTCTAATTTTTCAGGATCCGTACATAACGGATTGGTCCTGATTTTACTCCAATCCGGTCCAATCCGGACCATGCTCACCCCTAATGGCACATGCAGCTTGTGCCTAAACCTTGATAAAAGAAAAACTGAAATAGGAGCCAAATATTTGACCTGGAATTTACCCAAAGGGTTTTTATGGTGTAAATTCAAATTCATTATGTTGTGAGCTATATTATAATGAATTTGGTTCAAGCAATTTAAATTTTGTATAATTTTATTTTAGTATTCAGGGTAAGGGGTACTCCCCTCTCCAAAATTAGAGAATCACCCTTCAAATTTTGCCAAAAAAAAACAAATTAATCGAGGGAGGCTCGTCTGTAGTTAGAAAGACTCATTGTTAGAACTCAGTCAGCCCATCAAGGCATACCTCTCAATGCTATAAATAGGTTAAAAAATGAAACATAAGAAAATAGATGAATTGAATAAGAGGTAAATATTGGTTCAATGGTTAAGATTTGTCTCAATAATTTTGAGGTTATAGATTCAAGTCTTAGAATCGTATTATGCTAAAGGTTAGGTATATATTCAATTTTTTTTTTCTTAAAAATGTGTACTAATTTTTAAAAGTTAGGTATATATTCAATCTTTTCTTTCTAAAAAATATGTACTAATTAGGCGTTGTTTTTAAATCGATCAAATAAGTATAATCATTGATTAGGTCATATTTGTCATTAGAATAAGAGATGATTTATTTTAAAAAATTTATTTAATGTTTATTTTTATAAAAATAAATATTATATATTCTTATGATTATGGTTATTTGATTAATTTTATTCTTTAAATGAATGATCTATTCCAATGACCATATAAAATCAATGTTTGGATTATCGAGCTAAGCACTGTGGTGAGCCTCTGAGGACTACGCATATGCTCCAATTGTAAGAGCTTAAGCCTGTTTCTTAAAAATTATTAGTAAACCATGTATTATATCCTTGTAATAAATAAGAAATATAAGTTAAATTAATTAATGTGAAATTATTTAAGGAAAGAAAAACCTTGGAAATTTTATAACAGAAAATTGATTGATCCTTTATATAAATTTCTATAATTTTGTAATTAGGCCACTTGTTATGAATAAAGTTCCAAGTCTCAACCATCATAATATATTATACATTGGCAAAAACTGACAAAAACATAGACAACATTTCATGCATGATCATCACCAATAAAACATCAACATCGATTTAAGTTCTTATTCATAGCATTCAGATTCAATATAACCAAACACAAAGTGAAAATGAAAAGCGACAATTGCAAAGTCTTTGACAGAAAAACACAGCCATCGATCTAACGAGAAAACAAGAGGGAAAGTAAGTGATTATGTAAATTTAGAAGCCAGGAGGCTTGTAGCAGATGAAACTGATGCACTGCACTTGGCGCTTGTTGTCGAATCCAATGATACGGATGAATGATTGTGGGTATTCCTTCTTGCACTCCTCAACCTCCTTCAACACTTGGGATGAATCTGTGCATCCAAACATGGGTAGCTTCCACATTGTCCAGTATCGCCCATCGTAGTACCCTGGCGATTTATTGTGTTCACGGTACACAAATCCTCCCTATATAGTATCATAAACACAAATTCATATGGTAAGTCTCTCAAATTCATATCTCAAATGTTATATTTAAATTTGAGTTATGAATATATATATATATATATATATTTTTTTTTATGGTTACTATAGAATATTTACAAGGAATTTTCATATGGAAAGATGTTACCTATTTGGTTCTTCTTATTCTAAAGCAAGGAGCCCATAATCATTCTTTTCAAGTTCAAAATACCATTGTGATGCCACTTTAAGAGTTCTATATATAGGTTCTACTTGTCTAACATTTACCCGCTGGCGCCTAAATTAAAATCATCAACAAAGAAAAGATACATGGCAATCCAGACACCCTCAAAATAGATACAACTGCAACTGAACCCAAAAAGACATGTGGAGAGCTATTGGGATGACAACTCAGCATGAGAAACACACTGAAAAAGAAGAGCAGTTAGAAGCAACTATTCCAATGATTGTCAATGGAATTTGAATTCAAAATACAATTAGAGAAGCACATATCAAAATAGAAGACATGGAGAAAGATTACGGAGTTGTGTGAAGTAGTTTTTGTCCCTTCAATGGTTACCAGAATATCAGAGGAACTGCTAAATTTATAAATGACAGTTGACATGGAGAGAGAACCACTAGATCAAATCTTGTCAAACTAGATTTCAATTTCTTTTTATTGTCCTGTCTTTTCATTCTATAAGAGTAGCAGTAAGGTACAATTCTTTCTTCTAATTGAATTATTTGTCAAACTAGAGTTCAATTCTTTTTTTGTCATTCAATGGAAGAACCAAGCTAACATTACCATTAACTTTTGACTGTTTATTCTCATACACATCCAAAAAATAAATAAATAGGCAAGGAGGCTTGCACAATACTATCCTTTTCCTTTGAAGCAGAGCAGTTACTGGGTTATTAACAAGAAAAAAAAAATAAATTGAAAAACAATTTTGTACTAGAGTTGAAGTGCAAAAGCCACACACACCACACAAAAATGGGTTGAGAAGAAAAAAAAGGAAAGATGTAGAAATAACCTGAACAGAGAATTCTAAGCAAGGAATCCATCCCAGGCGAATGAGGTAATCAACTTCTTTTCCCAATTGTGCTTGAGTGAGTGGAGGAAGGTAAGACAAGGTCTCGAACTTCTTCAATCCAAGTGGAGGCCACACCTACATTTAATTACAACCAATTTCATGCTCAAAACACTTTTTCCTCAATCTAATCAACTATACACATATATGTTACAATTAAAAATTGAATCATATCTGATACGATACAGGGAGTATTTAGAAGGAAAAAAAAAAAAAAAAAACGTTTGAGAGGTGGAATTATCATATGGATCTGAAACGCTACGGGTGTGTTTGGAGGATCAATTTAATTAGAGATTTAGAAAGGGAAAATAAAAAAAGAGGTATGAAATGTAAGTGACATTTAGTTATATTTCTTATATATATATATATATATATATTTTCAAATTCTTATTCAAATTCATACTCTAAATACAAACTACGGAACTAACGGTTTGATTAATGGTATTTTTAGATTTGTCTATTGTATTTTTTTAAAAAAATCTTTAGTGAGCTATAATTTAACATGTGTCAATTTAGTCTCCTTAGTTTCAAACATATCAATTGTCTTTTAATTTTTCACAATATATTAATTTAGTCAAATTGATAACAGTTGTTAACAAATTAGACAAAAAAAAAAAAGGTAAATTGGTCCATTCAAAAATAATGAACCTTTTAAATTTTGACCTCAAAAAAAGAAGAAGGTAACTTTCTCTTTTAAAGTGCACACTATAAATTTGTTATTTGTAACTTTTACTATAAATTGACATGCCATATGCCAAATATTCTTAATTTTTATCATAAAAATCATAATTTTCTTACAATGTGTCCTTAGAAAATGGTCTTTTTAATATGTGTCCTTCAAAGATATGTTAAACAAATTTAAAATGATTATACATTTTTTATTGCACTCACTTTAATGTATAATCATTTTAAACTTCTTCATAGGTGTCCTAAATGCACACCTCCAAAATAAATAAATAAATAAATAAAATAAAATAAAGTGCATGTTATAGATTTCTAAAATGTGACATAAACCGAGAGGGAGAGGGGAAAAAAAAAAAAAACCCAACAATCCATTATGTGCTATGCGGAGGGATCTTCAAGTACCTTCATGCACTGAACTCTTCCACCATTGCTGGCCAAAGAGGTGATATCAGTGTCAAGCTTCCGGGTTACCGGGAAAGCCGATGTGGACTTGAGGCCTGTGAACGGAGCAACCATGCTTGCCTGAGCCGGAGCAACTACAGCAGATGAGATTATGGAGGCAGCCATATCTGCTATCTCTCCTCTCTTTCTCTTTAGTTTTAGTTTTAGTTTTTAACAACACAGCTCTATTGCTTCATTCAAAGATATATATAGAAACTACAAAGTCATGACTGACTCAGACTATTTTACCACTTTATCATCATCTTCTTCAATTCAATGGTCTATATTCATTGGTAAAATCTTGCAGTTTTCTTGTCCATTAAATGACGAAAGATGGGGTGACATTACAGCTTGGTGGCCACACAATTGTGTGAAATTTGGATTGGTTGCCTTATCGTTATACAACCTATTGGTTGTGCCACGTGGCACTTACGCATTATCTTATCTCTTTGGGAAAATAAGTTGATGAATGTAAGGCTGTTATGGTGAATTCTTTCTGTTTCAGTCTTTTATTGGCCTTTCATTTTCTACTGCCACATCTAATAACACATATCCTTTTTACTCTTCGAAACTACTGATAAAAGAGAAACCTGAATTTCTATTGGGATGCATTACTTAGGTGATGCTTGCCGCGATTACAATATGGACAATAATACTTCATGATATTTTAAGAATATCTAATAATATTATAATTTTATATGTTGATTTGAGTATGAATTATTTGTCTCATTCTCTTGTACTATATATTTTAAGCTTTGATTTTGATTATAAAAAATATAGGACGAAAGATGAGATGGAAAATAAAAGAGGTGATTTGTGCTTGTAAAAATTTAAAATAATAATTTATTATTGAATAATAATAACATGCGTCAGTGATATATGATATCGCCATTGTATTGTATTGAGTTCAATTTTTCTCCAAATCGACTTTTTTTCATAAGACTCAAATTGTAAACGCTTTCAAATTTTCAAAATTAGAGAGATTTGAAAAGAAATGATATGTTGAAAAGTGGTTTTAGTTTTTGTTATCTTACAAACGCACGCTATAAAGATCTTTTTCTTGTTTTGTTTTTTACTTATTTCTCTGTTAGTCGTCTGTTAAAATTAACTCCATTTTCTTTAATACACACTTTGGCTCCCCTGAACAAGATTTTTTATTCCATCTCTGCTTTGATTGATATATGTGTGGTTAGCATTATTGGTCCAATAATGTACCGGATGAAGCTTTCCTACCTTTGAAATGCACTGCAAACCAAACAACACGATAGCGACAGCACCTCTGAATTTCAGTCGAACCTCCCCATTTTAGCCAATCTGGTCCATATATTTTAGACACTATATATATTTTGTTGAAAGATTTAGAAAAAGATTTGAAAAGAGAAAAGAAAAAGACATGTAAAATATAAATATAATATATTTACATTTCACATAATTTCACAATTTTTAAATTTCTTCATAAATTCTCTAATCAAATACAGCATAAAAGAATTAAAAAAATAAATAAACAAAGGAAATATATATATATATATATATATTATAATTAGGTGTTCGGGTCAGTTTACACGTAAAGATTGATAATTTTAAACTCATAAATTTATTTATAATGATGTGGTAAAAGAGTTAAGTCTTATATCCCGTTTGAAAATTGACTATTTTAGTTGATTTTTTGATTTTTTACTAAAACATGCATAGAAAAATAAAGAGAAAAATATGATAATTTATATTGACTTTTAGACTATTTTATCTTATTGACAAATAGGGCCGATGAAGTGTGTAACAAATATTTGTGAGTTTTAAATAATTTTCAAAATAATAATTGTATGAGTGCAGAAATAATCTTCTCGTATAATCCTGTTGATCAAGTTTGCACTCCTCCAAACGTCGTCGCTTTGCCACCTGAAAACACAAATGTGAGCTAGCTGACGGGTGTGTGCCAAAAACCTCTCCGATGCCTAAGTCAGCAAATAAATAATAGACACAAAAGCTCTGTGTATTCTAGAGTGAGAATTGTGATACTTGAGATTAGGGTTTGGTTTCAGCTTTTGTAGATTTCCATGGCACAATCCTAGTAGGATTCTAACTCTCTAATGTAGAGTCCTCTTAGAAATCACATTGCTAAAAGATAATGTTTATCCTTTAACACCCTCCTCACTGTTATTCAAACAAGATGGGTTCAATCCTTTTACCTCGGCTGGTATCATACTCAACCGAACCAACACTGCTCCGCAATGCCTTAGGTAGTACTGAGGTAAATCTTCATGTAAGATGGCGTGCTGTAGAGCAACCTTTAGCCTGGTCCGCTTTCCTACTAACACTTCGGCCCTTCACAAGGTCTAGTGTTAGATAGCTAGGTCAGAGCCTTTACAACCTATTTTTGGGCTAGCTCGGTGCCTAAACAGTCCAGGACCGCACTGTCCAAGCACCGGCCTAAAAAATGAGAAGCTCGGCCCAGTAAGCCTAGTGCGGCCCAATTTAATCACATAGATTACCCTCTCAATTGCCTCTTAATTCTATCTACGTAGAATGTTTGGGATTATCCACTTTTGATCGACCTGTCAAGGTTCATGCCAACCGAACCCCAAAAACCCACGGCCTAGCCGGGCTAAAATACCGACCGAGCACAAATGTAGCTCGGTTTCTAGGATTGTGCCGGTCATACACCCTATCTTTTCATGTTTCTGACATCATGTCCTTACTGGGACACGTGACACGTGTTGATTGCCCCCCACACACTATGACAGCCGTTACACGCTACCCAAATTTTTTTTTGAAAAGTCCTGCTGTTATGCCTCTGTGTTGTATAGAACCCGTATTTCTTTGAACAGTCACTCTTACTGTTCATCTTCCCCTCTGTAACTCTTCGCACTCTGAGTTCCATAACCTCTTCTCCTACACTCAAGTCTCAACCTAACCATCTAAACTGCCTGCCTTGCTCCCATAGTTGCTGGTGATCCTTCCATTGATTAGATCCGGATTTCACGCCCTAAACCCGTAAGTTCCTCATGCATGTTTCTTTTTTCCACTGTTACACTTCTGTTTATTTCTTAAGAATTGCATATCTTCACCACATATGCGTTTAAGGACTGAACCAGCATTAAGAACCTTGAAACTCCATGTGTAATCTTGGAAACACATTTAACCAGGACTAAACTCAGTCTTAGAACCGTGTTTTTGATCCAAAATTATGCTGCGACCGGAATAAAATCATGTTTGCAGCTTTAGGCTCGGTTTTGACCAAAATAAAAAAACCCTTACTGAACAAACTGAGCTAAGATGCTGCCCAAGTTCCTTAACCGAACTGATTATACCCCGGTTCTTTGAACTTGCTTCTAGAACCTAAATTTTTCTGTTTCCAACTGTCCCTTAGTCAAACACAAGCCCAGTATATGCCCATGTTCTGCTAAACTTAGCCGGTTTAATGACTTGGGCATAACCCCTTTCTATTTCCACTTTGTAGACTTGACTAGGTTGGCCAGGCACACCCTTGCACTTTGCCCCTTGGTGATATTGCTCGACCAAGCCCATCTTCGTTCATCTCATCGCCGCACTAGGCTGTCGTATAGTCTCCTAAAACGCTAAATTTAAACACATGGACAAGTAACGATTCATGGTAAGCTCACCAGGTGCGATAGCCGAATTTCGGGAGGAATGCAACATCCCTGATGACGTTCAATTCACATTAGCCGAGATAGAAACCACACCATGGTCCAAGCCTGGTTTTATTCCTTTCACCATTTTATCCATTGTTGAAGGTGGACTTCGGTTCCCTGTTCCGCCTTTAATATGCGAGTTCCTAAAACAAATCTGATTATGCCCTACCTAGTTATCCACCAACAGTTACAGAATAATCAATGGCGTGGCCGAACTAAACCGCTGTCTAGGCCTCAACCTCGGATTGGCGGAGCTGTTCCACCAACATTCTTTCGGTCAAAATGACGACGGTTGGATCTACTACCTACGAATCAAAAAAGGCCGAGAGAAAATTATCAAAGGCACACCAGACAAGGCTATGAACGATGATGATTTTCTCTGGATCAGGGGCAACTTTGAGGACAACGAAGCCCCAATACCGGGCAGAAATATTAACTGGAATAAGGAGACCGCTGACAAGAACAATTTAGTCTGGTTCCTTTGTTATTTCGCGTACTGCTGCCGTACTAACCCTTGCCTATTTTAATTTTTGTAGATTTGAACCACCTTAAGTCTATCTACGCTTACGCGAACCAAGACGCCCTTCGCGCCACGCCGCGCCCCGCTCCGCTACAGCAACCAAGACAGGACCGAGCTCCTAAACTTTGAGCCGACCTACCGGTATAGTGAAAAGAGAAAAACCAAGGTTACTAATTTTCTCCTTGAACCGTCACCTAAACCAGACCCAAATCTCCCCTAGATCAACCTCATTCCTCTTACCAAAAGAGCAGGAAATAGCTAAACGATGAGTCGTTCGTGCCCTTATCACCAAGCAAACCTCAACTTCCACTGCTGAGGTTCAAGCCGAGATACCACCTGCCGGTTAGTCACGCGACGTTGTGGTGGCCCTTCCAACCACCCGTGCTGCCTCATCTCGGCCAAACAAACGGCCCCCTACTAGTTCTGGTACACCACAACGCCTGACGAATGAAGATGACCCCGAGCCGGTCAAAACCAAGCTACCAGAAGTCAATATGCCCCAAAGTTGCAACTGGCCAGGCCCTTCTAATCCTCTATCCCCTCCGGTGTGGGCACCAACCGTGTCCTTCAGGGGCCGTGCCGTTGTAGACACCCCATTTTTGACCGACCTCGAGACTCAGACGTCACCAGTTGACCGCTTGGTGATATTGCATATCGTGCTCGTTTAGAAGTCTCAGAGTCGCGACCGTGAGCCCTGCCTCCGGATTTCCGAACCCTCTTCTGTGCCTTACCTCGGTTTGCGAACCAGACTCGGTTTTCTCTGTTTCTTTTCCTGAGAGGAGGGAGAGGTCCCGTGGACCATCTCTCAGTGGCCGTGGGCTACATTTTGTGGCTGTAGGCCATTTTGCCCATTTCGGAGCCCGGTTCCCGGTTTTTCGGAGCCGTTGGCCGTGTGCCTCGGTTCGGGACCACTTAACCATCTCCGTTTGCTCTGGTTTTTGGTGTGCATCTTATTTACTCCCTTTTGAGGGACACTGAGGCCTGAGAGACCCGCTTCGTGGTCAAGTGCCACTTTCGGTGCTTAATAGGCAGTTTTCGGGGCCCCGAACTGCGCGTTTTGGCCCCGGAACATTCGTTTTGCATCAGTTTTCGTTCATTTTTGGAAGGTACCTCTGTTTCATCACCAGGAAGGCCATAGAAGGGTGGGAGGCCAGCAATTGTTTCAGCAACCAGTTATATATCCTCCGGCGCCCTCCG